CAAGAAGTGGCTTCAAGTTAAGCGATTTCAAGAATCGATTCACTTTGCTTTGTGTTAAAATGTGTGGCGAAGCCATGAGTGCCAAGGAGGAGACAGTGAAGGTGGAGTAGATAGTGTGATTGTTGAGTATATTCACCACTTCTCCCTGAGAAGGACGGCGGGCCTGTGTCCTGGTGACACGTGATGCGCTCCATGTGACCAACTGGGAGCAGAGGGTGTGGCGGCCCCTGCCAGGCGGAAGCTATATGAGAGTTCTGAGTCGGTCATTTCTCTTCTCCCTCTGCCATGAGACCCGCACCATCCCGAGAGCTGGGGTGATCCTCAGCCCGCATCCCACCATGAGGAAGACGTCAGCAACCCTGAGCTCAGCCGGGACCACACATAATATGGGGCAATAAACAACCCTTCGTTGCTGCGAGCCACTGAGATCTTAGTGTGTTACCATCGCATAACTTGCCTTAAGCTGATTAATACAAAAGGCACTTACCTTGCATTATTAAAAAAAAAAAAAAAAAAGGAAGCGTTGTTTTTTTAAAAGATGATCTAATGGTAAACCACCTTGCAATATATCCTGACCCCTTCCCACAGCTGGCAAAGGCAGGATATACACATACGCTAACACGAGAAATCAAGTACAAAGTTAGGCACATAGCTAAAATCAGCACACAGGATAAAAGCTAATCATTTTTAAAAGGAGATCCCCCAACTCCTCAGCCAGATGAATTGCCTGGGTCATTAAAATTTTTTTTAATGTTTCTTTTATTTTTGAGAGAGAGACAGAGTGTGAGCAGAGAAGGGCAGAGAGAGAAGAAGACACAGAATCCTAAGCAGCTCCAGGCTCCGAGCTGTCAGCACAGAGCCCGACGTGGGGCTCGAACCCACAAACCATGAGATCATGACCTGAGCTGAAGTTGGACACCGACTGAGCCACTCAGGCGCCCTGTCTTCATCTTTTTTTTTTAATTTTGATAAGTCAGTTGCTATAGAAACGAACATCAAAAGTGTTTGAGGGTCAAAGTTTGATGAGATACTTGCCGTTAACCGCACAGATTTAGCCCCACTGTATTTTTGCTGGAAATGTTGTTTTAAAAGTGATTCAGTTATAAAATTCCACTGGTTTTCTGTGGTCTGCCCCTTACCCTAATTTTCTTGTAAGCCCTATTATTTTTAGTGTGTGATTTTGCAGAATGCAAGGGTTTTCAGAAATGCACATATATAGTGTTATGTTTGAAATGCCTATATTATAGTAGATAACAATTCCCACATGCACATTTAAAACAAACAAAAACCTGTAAGTCTTTTTTCATCCATGCCTTTCCCCCATGCCGTCGTACTGTACATATGCATGGGGTCACGAGGAAATGCCGTCAAGTAGAAAGAACACGGTCTGTAGAATCGGACAGAACTGAGTCTAATCCTACTACCTATGTTAACTCGGATGACGTTATCTCCCTGGGCCTCGGCTTCCTCATCTGTGATGGAAAGGGTAGAAAGGACTTTCTGGAAATTGGCCAGAAGAGAGCCAATCTCCATGAACAAACTCAAGAGCCAATAGCTGAGTGTCCCTGAGGAGGTCCTTCCCACAGGACAGCACTTTCCAGTAGGGACTAGGAACACCCCCTGCCGATGCTCGGGGTCCTGAACCAGGGCCCCCTCCAGGGATGGCGAATCGTCCACCATCCCCCCAGATACCATGATGCCTGGTGACACACAGGCTCTCTGAACATAACTTGCTTCCCTTGTTCTAATTCCGTGTTCAATAAGCATCCGAGAGCATGGCACTCAGGGGGTGAGAATGCCTGGGGTAGGTAGACAGAAAGCCTGGTCTGCTTAACAGCCACAAAATGGCAAAGTGGCGTTCTGTGTTTATTCAGATTGCTAAAACTCACTGTGCTTCAGCTTCCTCAACTGTAACACGGGAATAATTATAGCGACCAACTCTCCAAGTTGCTGCGAGGCTTATGAGAGCTATGTGGAAAGGGTTTGGAACCATGGCTGGCTCAGAGCCAGGGCTACCCGAGTGTTTGCTATTAGTATTGTACATCAAGCTCTGTGAGGTCGGGTAATGTCACTCTGCCTTTGAAAGCACAAAAGCAACTTAAGAACAAGACCCTGAAGAGTGGCTGATTTACCAAGGTTCGTATTGATTTGAAGGAACGTCTCTGGGCAGCCGGAGTCCTCCCTTGGGTGATAATATGCATGCCTCATCTTACCATGTGTCTTCGTATTTGAAACTATAAATAAGGATTGTATGAACAACTGTCTCATATGCCCAGCACACAATCTTCCCTCATTCATTGGTGGCCTTTGTCTCTCTTCTCAAGCACCATAAGTCTGTGAGCTGTCAGCGGAAACCACAAATTGGGAAGGGAATGCCTGACTGCCTGAGGAGACTGGTTCTGACCAGAAGAAAACCTGCAACCATCTAATTCCCATTGAGTTTCTGGACTGAAATGAGCTCAGGAGACTGTAGCCTTGCTGGCTGATAATGTGATTTGAGATTCAAGTAAAAGACCCCACCTTGGAGTACGGACGGGTCACCACCCCTCTTCCACTGATAAAACCACTCATTTTCCGTCAAGATGCAGCTCAAACGTCACTTCCTCTTTGGAGCTTTCTTGAACTCCCCGAGGGTCCCCACTGTGTTCCTACGGCGTCTTCTCCGTCTCCTGTAATTATGTTCCTGTCTGTTACCTCCATTAGACTTCACCTCCTCCGGAGTAAGAGTGCCGTAGTGACCTTTATACACCCAGCATCCAGCACAGTGCTTGGTAATACGCACTCACGAAATATTTGTTATTGAATTAATGCCTTAGGTCCTGACCTAAGGTCATTGAATTAATGCAATGGGCCCTGATTTCCCCTATTCTCGTACTCGAGCCTGGAGCTAAGGCGCATGAACCTTCAGAGCCTTTCCAGAGGCAGAGAGACCAGCCAGCCCAAACTAGAGGAGGCGGCCACCGGCCCTTCCACAGCTACCTCAACAACACGCTGGTAGAGCCTTGCACCCTGAGGGCGGGAAGGCACCTCCGTGTATCTAGAAGACCAGGATGTGACCCTGGGCAAGATACACCGATACCAAACATGATTTATTCAGCAGACATTTATCAAGTGTCAGCCCGTGCCAGGCCCTCAATGAGATTCAGTTCGTGTCCTCATAAATCGGTAGAAGCCGACCATGGTAACAGGTGCGGGGACAGGAGGGAGCACGGGGTGCCACGGGAAGGGACATGGTAGAGAGAACTTTGAACGTGTAGCAGGGGAGACATTGTCAAAGGCGAGAACGAACTGTGGACCACGCGGCTTTGAGGAGGGAGAGCCACCTGTTCCCTCTGACAGCTCGAACGGGAGGACTGCTCCCTCCTCTCTCTCAGGAGGGGCGCCATGTCGGGCTTAACCATCTCCACCATCTTCCCCGAAGCCTGGGGACTGACTGCCAGGCCCGCCATGGTCTGTCCAGCACTTCACCTGGCATGTCTCTCCGCCACCAGGTAGGATTCTGTCCTGTCCCTAGCAACCACCAGAGACAGCCTGGCCCTACTATGGCCACGGGCAATGGGACCCACAGGATCTGAGCCTCTATTCTCACCGCACCACGTGGCCTTGCCTCTCCTAGGAAGCCGATGAGGGGTACAGAAAGGAGACACAAACTCATGAGACACAAGATTCACCTTGGTGTGAACAAGCCCCACGTTAAAAAAGAAATCAGAATTTCCCCTAAAAAGTTTACTATTACTGATAGCATTTTGAACAAACCAAAGAACTTAACAAAAAACAGAAACAAAAAACAAAAAACAAAAAAAAGATAAATATATATTTTTAATCGCAAACAGGCAACAGATTTACAGAATTGGCTTTCGATCACCCAGAAAAGACAACGATGTTTACTTAGTAGGAGCTGCCTTTGGGTGAGGCTGGCCACGGGGCCACGAGCCCTAAGCCGGGACACGTGGTGAGCTCCCGGCCGGCAGAGGAGTCGGGGCAGGACGACCGTCCCCCCGGGAGCGGAGCCAGAGCCAGGCAGGGCCAGGGCTGGGTGTCAGGACGCGGGTGGGCAGCCCGGCCATGCTGGCCTGGACGGAGTCCCCGGGACGTGAGAATGTGGGGCCAGCTGCAAACAAGCTCCCGTGTGCACACGTGTGTGTTCAATCAGTGCGCACTTCCTGCCCCAAACTAGCAAGAGGGCTTGGGTGGGAGTCGTGGGTGCACCAGCATCACAGAGACCAGGGAGGGGAGAGTCAGCCTCGCAAAGCAGGTGCCCGACTTCAGCCGGAGGAGCCCCTACCCGCGCGGTGGGGGAGCCCAGGCATTAGGGAGTTATTGTAATGTTAGTGTAGGGCGTTAGGGTAACGCCCAGACGGCTGCCGCGGGGCCCACAATGAGCGTGGGGACGAGGTGACCAGACCATCCCCACGTGCAGGAGGGTCAGGCTTGAGCCACAGGAGCCCCTGGGATTTGACACGGGCCTGCTGGGGGCACAGAGAGGGAAGCCGCCCGCGCCCCAGCTGGAGAGAGGAATCCAGGAGCCCCGGAGGAAGCGGGCAGTAGGTGCTGAGCTTCTGGAAAGCACCGGAAATCGGGTGGGAGGGGGCTGGAGGCCAAAGTGGGTCCCCAAGCAGGAGTTTTCACTTAAGTTGGATGAAGAACAGGGAGTCCTTCACGGACTCATTACTCTGTCTTTTATTCAACAAACACGCAGCATGCAGGCCCCGCCCCCCACCCCCACCCCTGGGTGCACCTGCTGGGCCCATCGCAGGAGCTCGGCAGGGCTGGGTGCTGGGAGCCACCACCAGCTCCAGAGGAAGGAGGGGCCCAGGGTGAGGGCCCGGCCCAAGCCAGGTAGGGAGGTGGCTTCCTGGGTGAGCAGGGTCAGTCCCCAGGGAGACCCCTTGGCCAGGTACGGGGAAGGGGCGGCGCATCGGTGGCGGGACGGAGGCAGGGTGGGGGGGCGGGGGCAGAGGACCGAGCAGTCCTCCCGGACCCCGGCCGCGTGTGCGCCCTCAGCGGTCGGCGAGGCCCGGGGACTCCCGCCCGTAGCTCCTCCGGTCTTCTATCCGGTCGCCATCCTCCTCCTCCCTCCCCGTCTGCTCCGGAGGCTTCACGTAGGCCACCCGGTCCCTGTGGGCACGAGGGGCGGGGTCGGGCCTCGAGCTCGCTGGGAAGAGCAGCCCCGGGCCCTGCCCCCCCCCCCCCGCAGTCGCAAAGGGACCCCGGGCTGGGGGCGGGCGGGGGGCACAGATTCGCGCGCTCCGGGACGGCCGGCTGCAACTGGACCAGGACAGGCCGCAGGGAGCCGGGGCCGCGGGATCGAGTCAGGTCGGGGCGGCGTGGCTAGAAGAGCCCCCCGGGGCCGTGACCCCCCCCCCCCCAATCAGAGCCTCGCCATCGGGCTGTCCCCACACACTCACGGCTTCGTGTCCCCAGCCTCGCCCCGGCAGCAGCAGCAGTAGATGGCGACGCCGAGGAGGACGATGGCCGCGGCCAGGCCCCCCGCGATGCCCGCGTACAAGGCCACGTTCATGGAGGCTGCGGGACACAGAGCGGCCAGGTGCACCTCCGGGGCCGCAGAAGCGCGGGCTCCGGGCGGCAGCAGGCTGGCGAGGACGAACCGGACCACGGAGGGCCCCCCACCCAAAGGCCCAGGCCCCTCCCAGCCCAGGGCAGCCAGCTTCTAGCCCACTCCGCGAGGCACGGCCTGGCGAGAGGGTCCCCGGGTGGGGCTGGGGACCCTTCGGGATGGACGTGTACGCAGATACACAGGCCAACGGATGTGGGTCTCAACACTCCCTGGGCTGCCCAGGCTCCTAAGAAGCCCTCAGCTGTCGGCCATGCCGGGTCCTCTCCGGCTTGTCCTTGAGCTGGTCAGGGTGACCGGGATGAGGTCCAGACTCTGCGGCCGCTGACTCCGGGCACCTCCCCGCAGCCCCCGAGCAGCCCTAAGGGCAGGTGGGACTGAGCAGGTCTCCAGAAGTCAGTCCGAGGCTCTTCTTCCAAAGAACCAAGGGAACAGGACTGGCCTCTAGGCAAGGGGGCCTGGGGCAGGAGCATCTAGATGTCCGACGCCACCCCAACTACCCTGCCAGCCGGTGACCCTAAAGAGGCTCCCCTGATTCACCTCCACAGGCTTTCTCTCTGCTGCCTCTTTGGACCCCAAGCCAGTGATCTTCTGGCCTCCATCCACTCCCCCTACCCTTTCCCTCCCTCCACACCCCAACCGCTCTTACGAGGTCTGACAGCCAAGGTGATGTTACAGGACTCCGTCCCCACCTCGTTGCTGGAGGTGCAGATGTAATAGCCTGACATATCTGTGGAGATGTTCTTCAGAGAGAGAGTCTGGCCTGTGACTGGGAAGGAAGAACAGTCAGGGTGAGGGGACTGGGCGCCACAGTCTGGAAGCAGCTGGCAATCCGGAAGCCGGAGCTCCTAGGTGGACACGCGCACTGCCACTGAACTTGTCTGAGCCTCCTCCAGAAAACGGAGAAAATATCCACCTCTGGGCCTTCTAGAACAACTGCAGGCAGGAACGCACAACTCTGAGTGCTTAGAATTCAAACCCCTTGGGTTTGTAGCCTGGTGCAGCCACGGATTAATTTTGTGACTTTGGCCCAGGAATTTAGCTGCACTGAACCTTAGCTTCTTTACTTAAAAATGGAAATAATCATAATCCCCAGCAGATGCGGAAATTGTGAGCATAAAATGAGGTACTAATCCATACAGGCCCACAACAGAATGTCTGGTGTACAGTCAGTGCTCGGGAAACATAAAATATATTATGCAGTACATGAAAATGCTTTATAAGTAGAAAATGTGGTTATAACCACTTTGAGGATCTTCAGAAACCGGATCCTTTAGCTTGGACTCGTGGAAGAAGTCTTTAAGAAATGGTCCAATTGTCCTCATGAGAAACCATCCTGCTAAATCTGCGATCCTGTGGATTTCTTCACCTTGGAAGGGAGAGCTGTAGGCTTAGACATATTTCCTGTCCTCACAAATGCTTCATCATAACCGCTATTCAGAGTGGAGAGGTGGAGACCTTTTCCGCTAATTTGCTGCAGAGTTAGCCTCAAAAGATTCTGCTGCCACCAGGTGGTTCGATTTCATGCAGAGGAGATGTCTGACATGGTAAGGAGGATCCAGTCACTGCACTGCTCAGGCATTTCCCAGGCGGCCCATAATCTCCAATACCAAGTCCAGGCTTTCTCGGACTTATTTCACTTAGCATAATCCTCTGTAGCTACATCCATGTCATTGCAGACGGCAGATCTCCTTCTTTTTATGGCTGAGTGATATTCCGTTTTATATATATACACGCCTTCTTTTCCATTCAACAATCAATAGACACTTGGGCAGCTTCAATATCTTGGCTACTGTAAATAATGCTGCTATAAACGTAGGGGTGCCTGTATCTTTTTGAATTCGTGTTTTTTTATTCTCTGGGTGAATAACTTTCTGAGGAAACTCCATCCTGTTTTCCACATATGTGAACTTCAAGAAACAAAACAAATGAGCAAAGGGAAAAGAGACAGAGACACATCAAGGAACACACTATCATTAATAGAGAACAAATTGAGGGTGAACAGAACGGAAGAGGGTGTGAGGTGGGTGAAATGGGTGATGGGGATTAAGACGTGCACTTGTGGTGATGAGCACTGGGTGCTGTATGGAATTGGTGAATCAGTATATTTTACACCTGAAACTAATATAATGTTGCCAGTCCACTACCTGGTGTCCAGCCCCACCCCTGCCCCGCCACCACACCCCTGCACGATTGTATCTTGGTGTGGATTTCCCTTGTCTGCATGTGCTACTTGGCACACTTCCTCAAATACGATTTCCTATGATATTCTCACCAATCGTGTATAGAAGGCAGAACGAATATTTCAATCTCCAACGTCACAGAGGTAACTGGGGGGTCAGAGAAGTTAAGGTGCTTGCCCAAGGTAGCAAAATTAAGAAAAGACAACATGTAACAAAAATCCTGTTCTAGGTCTAGAACTCCCTGGAATGATTGACAATTTTCTTTTAAAATGTATATACATTCTAAAAGCAATGTGAGTCCACTATGAGAATTTGTACATGACATTAAGCTATTATTTCCATTCAATCCAGTCCAGAAAATCTTTAGATGCTGATAGCATCCTCTCCCAACAAGATGAAGAGGGTCCGTGTCCTCCTGGCATGAAGAATGACAGACAGAAACCCGGGTGAAAGTGGAAATTCGACGTGGGTTTATAGTAAGGGGGGCTAACCTCATCTGAAAGGGCGGGGAAAGCCGATATAAAGAACAGAGAATAAAATAAAATCATCTAGACTCTCACCAGCTAGAAATAACAGCTGGTGATTTGGGTTATTTTCTTCCAATCTTCTCCCATGCGCTTTCTTTAGAGTCTTCCCTTGAACCCCCCAGCACTATTTCTGGATGCTCACTCTCTATAAAATGCTACCTCTTCTATCCTATAGTTTCATATACCTCTGAGTGTTTTCTGGAATTTGGCTTACACGTGACTTTAACATACGGTGCTAAAAAAGGGGTCCATGATCGAAGCAATTTTAGAAATCAAGAGAGGGTTAAATAAGTTTTTTAAGAACAGAACTCTTAGAGCTTCTAAGATGCTACTGAGCACTCTGTGTCCTTAAACTGGGGGCTGTGGAAGGGATAGAGGAGTGCTGATGCACGGGGCACATGGACCCCAATGTGTATAGCAGCACTTTCAACAATAGCCAAACCATGGGAAAAGCCTAAATGGCCAGCGGCTGATGAACGGATCAAGAAGATGTGGTTTAGACACATGGAATACTACTTGGAAATGAGAAAGGATGAACTCGTGCCATTTGCAGCAATGTGGATGGAACTGAAAGGTGTTATGCTGAGCGAAATAAGTCAGGCAGAGAAGGACAGATACCATGTGTTTTCATTCATATTGTGGATCAGGAGAAACTGAACAGAGGCCCATGGGGGAGGGGAAGGGGAAAAAATAGTTACAAACAGAGAGGGAGGGAGGCAAACCACAAGAGACAAACACAGAGAACAAATTGAGGATGGACAGGGAGGGGGGAGAGGGGACATGGGTGATGGGCATAGAGGAGGGCGCTTGTTGGGATGAGCACTGGTGTTGTACGTAAGCCAACTTAACAATAAATTATGTTTAAAAGATAAAAGCTAAAATAAAATGGGACTTATGGTATTAAAGTTCTTATTTTCTAAACTAACTGGATATATTTTTTTAAGAGGCATCTTGAAGGATGGGAAATGCTCTGTGACGCTGGGAATACTTAGGGGTCTATAGCCCTTATCAGGATCCCCTACTCAGAGTGAGAGACTCAGCCTGTGTGTAAGGTGTACACAGCGCGCTGCAGGCAGATCAGGACAGAAGACCTCAGAGGGTCTCCTAGGGCCTTCCCGTTACCAGAGGCCAGCTTTGGGCTCCGGGCCTTGCTCCTCGAAGGCAACGTGGACATTGGAAACTGCTCTGGGGTTAACCCATGTATATCCTCAAGATCGGCTCTTATTCTGAGGTGGGGCCCCCAAGTCCCTTTTCAAACTCTTTAGAAAAGACCTAATACTATTCCTGAAAACTCGGCTAAAGCTAATGTTTCCGCTGCGGTGGCGACCCCTTGTGGTGGAGAAGGGGAACGCAAGGACACTTAGCCTCCCAATCCCCTGGGCTCCTGGAGAAACTTCCCACGGGATCCTGGTCTCGGGGGCACTGGTGTCTTATTGGTCAGATCTGGCTTTCCCGTCCCCAGCCGCTCTCCACGCGTGCCCCCCAAACTCGATCCTTCTCCACAAGCTCGGGCAGCCACCCCTCATCCAGGGCCCTCAAGATCCGCCCTAGCTGCAGGGCCCCCACCCACCCTTCAACCTTTCAAGAACCTCCTCCCCTAAAGTGCTCTACCCCCAGCCCCCCGCCCTCCTTCGCTGAGACCCCAGCCCCTACTCCATCTGTTCATGAAGCTCAGCTGAGTGGGGTGGGATTTAGAAGGATGCTCAGAACATCCCACACGGGTCTCCTCTCACCCTCTTCTCAACCCTCGGGGAAGGTGGTATTGGGATCGTCCTGGTTTTTCAGATGAGGAGACCGAGGGTCAGAGAGGCTGTGAGTGACTTCCAGCTACAAAGTGTCGGGTCAGGACTGACACTCCTGCTTCCCGCGGCCTCCTCCACCCACTTCTAAGTGAGGAAGCCCCTCTTCTGTCTTCAGACGCAGGAGGGCGGAGGGACCCTGTGTCCACCGCGGACTCACGTGTGTTAAACGTCAGAACGAGGCCTGCGCTCACCGGAGAAGACGGCATAGACCCGAGCGCTCTGTGCGGCAGGTGGAGACCAGAGGCCCTGAGAACGACCTCCCCAGTGCAGGGTGCAAGCTTGTGCGGTTTTTAGCACTGCCCGCTCCCCCGGCTGGCACTCCCAGAACTGGATTCTGACTCCCAGCAAATCTTAAATTGAAGCGGGACAAAGCGTTTCCAAAGGCAGTGTGTGCGTCCCCCTTCCAGCCCCTGTCATGCCCTGGCCGGGTTTCTCCCCTGCCATCCCTGGAAGACTGGGTTTTGGCTTCTCGCAGCCGGGGGTCTTTCTGATGGAGGCAGGAGAGCTGTAAGTGGGTCTGCTCCGTGAGGCCCTCGGAGGGAGCCCGGGGCCTGCAGGGGAGAGGCCAGCCTCCCCACCCGGGATCTCCCACTGCCACTCCTCTCACGCTGCTACCCCCCTCCTTCTGCAGCACATGCCTCACCCTGGCAGCACCCGACACTCAGATCCCCGGGACAGAGTCCTCCCTCAGCCTCTGGCTCACGTGACACACAGCTAGTACCACCTGGCACTGGGGAGTGCTCACCACCTGCCAGGCACTGGCCTCCATGCCTTACGTGTACTGTTTAAAAATTTTGTTAATGTTTATTTATTTTTGAGAGAGACAGAGACAGAATGTGAGCAGGGGAGGGGCAGAGAGAGAGGGAGACACAGAATCCCAAGCAGCTCCAGGCTCTGAGCTGTCAGCACAGAGCCTGACGCGGGGCTTGAACCCACGAACTGTGAGAACATGACCTGAGCCGGAGTTGGACGCTCAACCGAACACCCAGGTCCCCATACATGTAGTTAAAAATTTTTTTTTAAAGTTTATTTATTTATTTTGAGAGAGACAGAGACAGCGTTAAGGGGGGGAGGGCAGAGAGAGAGGGGGAGAGAGAGAATCCCAAACAGGCTCTGCGCTGACAGTGCGGGGCTCAAACTCATGAAACCATGAGATCGTGACCTGAGCCGAAACCAAGAGTCGGACACTTAACTGACTGAGCCGCCCGAGGCGTCCTACGTGTACTTGTATTTAATCTGTGCGGGGGCTGTACAAAT